CCACAGAAGGTAAACAACATAACTTTGCCTCTTTGGGGGGCGAAGTCCCTGCGTACAGTTACCTTCCGAGTAGTTCAGAGTTGAGGTCTGTGTAAATATATTTACAAAAAAGAAAAGACGATTTCAGAAACAAACTGATGTATTTAATTAACAAATAGAAATTCTGCGTCAGTTTGCAAACAAGTTAGGCGCCAAATTTATCGCAGCTCTTGCCTTGCCCTTGGATGACTTTATACTCGAGAACCAAGGTCGTGTAGCGATCACTTGTACGTGACTCCAAAGTCGGCTTATCTTACTTTTTGTTATGTTCTTTCCGTTCAAGGGATAATCCGAATCTGCCTGACTAATTCCTGGATACTCTAAACGTTGCCTTTAAATCTGGAACCAATTTCATGTCATATTCTTGAGCTATTTGAAAGCTGTTAAAACTCAGTGACGGATAGAACGAGAGAGAGAGAGAACGCCAAGGAAATCCAACTCTTTGAAAGCTGTTCACACTCAGTGACGGATAGAAAGAGAGAGGAGAGAACGCCAAGGAAATCCAACTTTTTGGGCGGGGATAGTAGAGAAAATAATTATTTCACAAAGACACTCAAGTTCTGGAACGGTAATCAAACGTTTATCTGATGTGTTCTGCGTGACAGCTCGTGACATATACGGAAAAATAGCGTCACCAGCACGTGCACTCAAGAGTAGGAAATGTCTTAGTAATTTACTGATAAAATGACGTCGTCTTAGAATTATGAACGTGGACATATCACTAAACGGTGTTCATGAAGCGTTTGTTAGCTCATCAGTGTTTTGGTATGTAAACAGGTGAAATTTTTGAAATATGTTATCCTTTAAAATGAAGTTTTTATTTTTTTTGTATTCATTACTTACTTTTTCTTCCGCAAAGCTACATAATTGACTATCTGCATTGAACGTTTATCAATATATAGTTAACTATGACAATAAAATGTTCGAGAGCTCCCCCCCCCCCAATGGCACAGAGTTATGTCTGGGGACTTGTAGTTCTAGAAACCGAGTTTCGATACCCGTGGTGGGCATAGAGCCTATTGTATTTGTTTGTTTGTAATTAAGCACAAACCTACACAATGGGCCATCTGTGCTCTGCCCACCACGGGTATCGAAACCCGGATTCTAGCGTTTTCAGTCCGCAGATATACCGCTGTGCCACTGGAGGGAGGGGCTATTATGTGGCTTTGTTCTTAACTGCAAACCACCATAGCTTCTTAAAGTAATCTATAAAACATAGTATTCAAAGATATTAAATATAATAAATAATTTTTGTATGCTCGAAAATATTGTATTTTTTTAAATGAATGATTCGTTATTTGCCATGGTATTAAGTAAAGTTAAGGAGACTTGAAAGTGACAAATTCCATCATAAAGCGCCCCGCGGTAGAGGACAAAGCGCACATAGCCTATTGTAGAGCGTTGCCCTAAAATAAACAAGCCATCTTCAGCGATCTGTAATAACCTATATCACGAATATGTAATGTTTTATATAAAATCAGCAAGAGAGCTGAAAAAAAAAAACCCACAAAAAAGCAGAGTTGGTCGTTTGGAATTGGGTGTTCGTTTGAAATCATTACGTCCCCAAGGGGATCAGCGGTAACTTTAGGGACTTAAAACACTAAAATCTGGGGGTTTGATTCCTCGCAGATAACCCATTATGTAGCTTTGTCAGAAATTCACAGTTTGATGATCCGATAGTCAATAATTTGAAATTATTAAAACAAATAAGCTGGTTGTTCTTATTACCGTGACTGCAAACTGAAGAAATACAAGAAACTGTTTTGTCGATATAGATGGCTTTGTAGTTACTCAAGGTATATGTAAAGAGGATCCATAATCTGAGCAAGGAAGGAAATTGGAAAAGTAATCTGTGAGAAAAGGTTTCCGTGGTTCTATGAATGTAATTTCTGACTTGAATTCTCCGTTTTCTTAGAAATTGAATGTTGGCTGACTGTTAAGCACAAAACTACACAATTTGTTATCTGTGCCGTGCTCAACCACGGTTTTCGAAACCCGAATTTAATGATAACACAGGCCTGCGATGGTTTTATTGTCTAGAAATTTTTACCTGTTCTACACTAATCTCTGTACGCTGAATCCGAAAATGATATCCATTTTTCTCCATCACGTAAAGATTTTTCACAAAAAATGATAACACAGTAAATAAATGAAAAACCACAACACGTAGTTTTGAGACTAAAAGACGTAGATTTCAAAAATAAATCAGGATGCATATTCGTTTGACATCAATGTTCTTCCCTTTTCTTCAGTTTTTTTTTGTATTTTTATTAACAAACATAATAATAAAAAATGTTCATTGTTGTAAACGAAATAATAATTTGATCTAAATAACAGTTGTTTTTTTTCTTCCCTATTTGTAAAAAATCCTTACGTTATAGAAAAAATTAATTTTTGAAATCTGCGTAGCTGAATTATGGAAAATCCATTGTTAAAACCAAAACAACTTTTATAAATTTAAATTCGCAGGCTTATGTAATAATTAACGGAAATTTTGAAAGTGTCCGTTTACCTAATTGGTCCTCATTATATATTTGTCAGAAACACACGCGGTATAGTTTCCAAAGAACTTAAATAATAACTCATATTTCAAAGCCGGTTTGTGAAAAAAAAAGTTTCGGAGTGAATATAAAGAGAGATCGAACACATGTTGGAAGTTTAGCGCCAAGTTACGTTTGAAATGTCTGGTATAAACTTCCAAAGAAAGTGTAAAGAACAGTATACATTTTCTTAAGATATGCGGATGTTATAAATTGGTTATTGAGACTGTTAACTCTGTATATCTACAAAGAACAATTTATCGTTATCTTCGGTTTTATAGATGAAGTTTGAGATTTTCGATAGTCTTGAAAATGTATTACAATGAATGTTGTTGTAAAATACATTTGTACTAACTATAAAGTAAAATAATATTGTACTAACTATTACTTAAAATGCGTATGTACTAAATATAAAGTAAAATACACTTGTAGTAACTATTACTTAGAATATGTGTATGTACTAACTATAAAGTAAAATACACTTGTAGTAATTATTACTTAAAATATGATTGTACTAACTATAAACTTGTAGTAACTATAAAGTAAAATATGATTGTACTAACTATAAACTTGTAGTAACTATAAAGTAAAATATGATTGTACTAACTATAAAGTAAAATACACTTGCACTAACTATAAAGTAAAATACTCTTGTACTAACTGTAAAGTAAAACATACTTGTAGTAACTATAAAGTAAAATACACTTGTACTAACTGTAAAGTAAAACGTACTTGTAGTAACAATAAAGTAAAATACTCTTGTACTAACTATGAAGTAAAACATACTTGTAGTAACAATAAAGTAAAATACGATTGTACTAACTGTAAAGTAAAACATACTTGTAGTAACTATAAAGTAAAATACACTTGTACTAACTGTAAAGTAAAACGTACTTGTAGTAACAATAAAGTAAAATACGATTGTACTAACTGTAAAGTAAAACGTACTTGTAGTAACAATAAAGTAAAATACGATTGTACTAACTG